CATGTGGTAATCTATTATAAAATTAATCAAGCCATGGAAAGGATGGTTATATGATGAATGCTAATTATTAGAAATTTACAGTGCACTGGGCAGAATTTAAACCCACGACAGACGAATTAATAATACTCATGAATGCTCACGCCCGTGTACTCTAAAATATCTGAGTGTGTTTTGTAAAGCTGCTAATTAATCTTAGGTGATGAGAATCGTACCTGACAAGGATTTGTTGATGGCTATTTTGCTACCATCATCTCTCTTCCATTTGACGATCGGGGGTGGAGAACCAGTGGCGTGGCACGTCAGAGTCACGTTTGCCGTCTCCCTCACAATGACGTCAGAGCTGCTGAGAGAGTCGTCGATGTTGGGTGGAACTGAAAAGAAACACGGACCTTGGTGAGACAGTGATTAAGAAACATCTGCTACTGGTCGGAAGGGTGGAAAGCTAATTTACTTTTGAACAGAAAAGACACCCTCAACGACATGTTGAAAGAAGGAGAAGAATTATACGAGGTTCGGTCAGTGTGTGGAGCGCTTAATATATTCTTGAAATTTAAAACACGAAAATGCACAATTTTTTTTTAAAAAAAATGCACCTAAAATTTTACGTGATATCGGAAACCGCAAATATATCGATAGGATACGAGCTGAAAGACAGAATTCCCGAAGAATAAATTAAGATTTACAAATATATTCCTTAAATAAAATTATCGAGAATTAGAAGCGAACAATGTTAGAAAATTAACATCAAAATTGACGATGACAGAATAACAAAAAATATTTGTACAAAGACGACAAATAAATATGGAACGAATAAAGAAACTATTTATTTACCAGCGAAGTGCCTAATATTTAATATTCGATTTAAGTTTCGAAGAAATAAGCCTGACTTTAAAACGTACAGAATACGTATCCCCCCCCCCAAAAAAAACATGTATACACACATTCAATAAATTAGATACATACATTTTAACAAATTAAACAGTTTACAGACGTCAGCATTGGCATTTGGTGAATTAGGGAATCAGACGTAGGTGATGAAAATGGCCACCGTTAGCTTCGTGGCGCTGCTGTGTGTACATATTTTTGGGAGGACCTGTAGATGTGGATACAGAGTACCAGATGAGGATATAGTTCTGGTACAAGAGGTCAGGGCTTGCATGAATCGAGGATGCTACTTCAAGCATAATACTTCCACTCAGTACACACATTTTTCCTTTATTGAACAATAGAGACTGCCTTGCCTCATAGGGTAGATGAGTGTTCTGCATGGAGCTACTGATATGTTTCCATGGTGATCAGTACCTAACAGAAGGCCCACCTAGCAGCAATTATTGGTCACTCACAGACGCAGTATAACATTAGCCGTCTCCCTGTGGAATACTACACTGCCTAATCACGACATGCCAGCGACGTACTTGGCTATTTATGAATATTTCCAAAGCAACTTCTGTTTGCGTACTAGCTCTGATTAATGTAAAATCACACGTTAAAGATACAAGTTATTCATAAAATAGTATAATTGCGTCATATTGTGAATCAAATATTAAATTAATTATTCGGTTTTGTCCGTCTAATCACAATTATATTTAAAATTTAAAATTTACAAATAAGA